TACTACAAAGGCTTGCTAGGCTCTACTAAGGCCTGCCAGCCGTTGCTAATGCTTGGCAGGCCTTGCTTTCCGACCATCAGCTTCTGCTAGCAAACTCCATTTGCCATACCCCCTTAGGGGGGTCCCTCTAAATCATAGTTCAATGGTAGTGCCCCCAGGACTTCGTTCCACCTGCGTCGCAGCTGCCGCAGGATCTTTTGGTGGAGGACCCGAGACCCGAAACTACCGTGGAGCCCAAAATGGCAGACCCCCACACCCAGACTAGAACTTAGTTATCGAGTGCCCGGTTTAGGGTTTTGGGGTTTTGGGGTTTTGGGGTTTTGGGGTTTTGGGGTTTTGGGGGTTTAGGGTTTAGGGTTTAGGGTTTAGGTATCTGCTTATCATCAAGTTAGTAATAATCAGTCCTGAACATGATCAATAGCTATCATGACGAAGAAGAAGTTGATGATGATGCGGAGGATAATGCTAATGATTGTTATTTTCAGGACACCCCGAAAGGGACATGTAGTTGTCCCCAAACCCTAAACCCCAAACTCTAAGGCCCTAAACCCTCAACCCTAAACCCTAAACCCTAAGCCCTAAGCCCTAAGCCGTAAACCCTAAACCCTAAGCCCTAAACCCTAAGCCCTAAGCCCTAAACCCTAAACCCTACATGTCTCCAGGACACGGAGCGCACCGTGTCCCATCACACCTTCTCAGCGGGATACCGGGCCAGGACCTCTGAGCTTCAGATGAAAGGTTTAGGCGTTTCAGGGGTTCAGGGTTTTTAGGGTTTCAGCTTTAGGGTTTAGGCATTTCAGGGGTTCAGGGGTTTAGGGTTTCAGGTTTAGGGTTTCGGCGTTTCAGGGGTTCAGGGGTTTAGGGTTTCAGGTTTAGGGTTTCGGCGTTTCAGGGATTTAGGGGTTTAGGGGTTTAGGCGTTTCAGGGATTTAGGGGTTTAGGGTTTAGGGTTTAGGGATTTAGGGGTTTAGGGGTCTGGGGTTTGATGGTTTTTTGGTCCGTTTGGGCAGTTCCCGGAGCCCCCTTAGAGAGCCCCTGGAGTCTCCCCAAACCCCTAACCCCTAAACCTTAAACCCTAAACCCTAAACCCTAAACCCTAAACCCTGAAATGGCTCGATGAAGGGTTTAGGGCCAAACGCCCCGAACGAACCCTAGACCCGGCTCCGTAAACCCTAACACCCTACCTAAAAGTCTCAATTCCTAAAGCAGAAGTCCTAAAAAAGAGGCCTTAATAACTACCTGCACTATTTTGGGGAGCTCCTTGCTATGATTATAGTATAATATACCCCAAAGCCCTATTCTAATCCTTAAGGCCCGCCCATCTCACGTTTAAGGTTTGTTCGGTCTTCGGCTTCCACCTGGAGCTGCGGAACTGAGGGCTTCTGGCATCAGGGGCTCAAGATCTAACGTAGGAACCTGATTCGGGTAGTTTTCTAACTTAGGGTCCCTTTTAGTGTCCTGTTTTTTTATATAAGGGTGTCGTATGAGATTGGGGACCTAAAAGGGGACCCTAGTTTAGAGAGCTACCCATTAAGACACCCTGGCAACCTTAAACTCCAGACTCTCGATGAAGAATCCCGGGGCCTGTCTTGCGCCCCTTTATATGATTCCGAAAATATTGGGGTTATGGGGGTTGGTACCGGCTTCGATGTCATGTACGCTTGAATCCTAGACCCTACACCCTAGAGTAGCAGCCCAGAAGTTGTAAACCCAATAGCTTCAATCCTGAAGAGTAATGCCCTAATCCCTAAACCCTAAACCCTAAACCCTAAACCCTAAACCCTAAACCAAAACCTGTATACGAAAGTCCAGGCACAGTGCAGATTCCGATCGGGGCCCCTCTTTGAACACCCAGCGGTGGCCAGGAGCTGGGCTTTTGCTTTTCTCCAGGGCTTAGGGCTCTTAGGGTTTAGAGTGCCGGGGTTTCGGGGTCTAGGGGTTGAGGGCTCTTAGGGGTTTAGGGGTCTTAGGGTTTAGGGGTTCAGGGCTTTGGGGTTGAGAGTTTGGGCTTTCTTTGTCGGGGCTCAGGGATTAGTACAAAGTCCTGCCCCTGTGTGTCTTGATGGTTGGTCTCCCAGCGGATTCGGGGCGGCAGTGAACTTCGCCAGAAACCCTAAACCCTAAACCCTAAGCCGAGATGGATGTTTGCTTTAAGACTTTAAGTTCCCGCTCACGGCAAGTTGCCAGGTTTATACCAGCTTGATTTCGGAAGATCTGGCGAACGAGTTGGGGAGACCATCGAGTAATATAGAACCCTAAGTAATAATTGCCAACGTTATTCCCTAGGTTTCCTTGTATAATTTAGTATAATATGCCCCAAAACCCTCTTCTAATTATTAAGGCCCCTACATTCAAGGAGGACTTCAAGGGGTGCAGCAGTCGGATTTCCCAACTGGCGAACTTTTCGATGAGTCTTCCAGATTTTCGAGCCTCCCCACGCTATCCCGAAACTCACAGATAGGGTTGATTCGGATCAGGGTGCAGGGTTTGGGGTTTAGGGTTTGGGGTTGGTTCGGATTCAAACAGCACTTTGAAGTAGGCCTAGAGGTAGCGGTACCTGCACAGCTTATGAACTCAGCTAAGGCCTACTTGTTGATCTGGGCCCTCCCTTGGAATCATCACATTCTGTTAAAGTCTAGTTTCAGCCTGTACGGGGTCACAATGCTTAGGACTTCTCAAACCCTAAGCCCTGAAGCCTTCAACTAGCCTCGAATCCAAGACTCTGAACCCTACGCCCTGGATCCTTCTTAAATCCTGCGCCCAAACCTCCCAAAAACCCTTATCTTGAGCTTAAAAGCGAGGTCGAGATACTTAGTAGCAGCATCCCTTATCATCCCTGTTTTTGTCAACTCTGGCCTACGCCACTGTCACAAGCCTCTTCTATCTATTTAGGCATTCCTATCAAAACCCGTAGAAGACCAGAACACCCTCAAGCCCTATCAGACCCTTGATTCAAAAGTCATAATTTGCATCCATATATAATATTATATACAATATGTATATATATATATATGTATCTTATGTATATATATATATATTAATATGAGCCCGTATAGGATTTAAGGCCGATGACCACCCTATAGAGACCTTACAACCCTACTAAACCCCTGGCAATATAGAGGGTTGTTCCTGAATGTAGTTGTACTATAACACACCCCCGAACATTGTTCTAACGCCCAGGCACGGCTAGACTACCTCATGTCGCTGGACACCGACAGCTGCGGGCTCAGTCGTTGCGGAGGGTTTTGGAGGTCCGGCGTGAAAGGGCTTTGGGGTAATAAATCTGTCTGTTTGTCTGTATGTGTGCTTGCCTGCCTGAGCCTGACCGTCTGTCTGCTTGCATGGATGTAAGTGTGCATGGGTGGGTATGCATGTATGCATGTACGTATGTATATAACAGGTATGTACATGTATGTATACAATAGGTATGTATGTATGTAGGTAGGCAGGTAGGTAGGTAAGTAGGTAGGTGGTTAGGTAGGTGGGCGGGTAGGTAGGTAGGTAATTAGGTAGGTAGGTAGGTAGGTAGGTAGGTCGGTCGGTCGGTCGGTCGGTCGGTAGGTAGGTAGGTAGGTAGGTAGGTAGGTAGGTATGTAGGTGTGTAGGATAGTAGGATTGTGCGGGTATGCAGGTATGGTTGCTTAGGCATGCTCGGTTTCAGGCATGTAGGTATGTAGGTGCGTAGGTGTTTAGGTATGGTTGAGGATTTAGTTGGATTTTTTGGGGTTGAAGCAGGATGTTATAGTAGCGATTGGTCCCACTTACAGCCCTATTTAACAACTTCCTGGACCCTAACCCGAAGCCCGAAACCGCAAAGTGCCCTAAACCCTAAACCCCTGAACCGAACCGCTGAAGGCATGTTTACGGAAGATGTGGAGACGGATCCCATCGAAGCGATGCACCAAAACAAGTCTCTGGTGCTTGGCCTTGGCCTTGGCTCGGTTTAAGCTGTAGGGTTTCGGGTTTACGGTTTAGGGTTTAGGGCTTTAGGGTTTAGGGCTTTAGGGTTTAGGGTTTAGGGCTTTAGGGTTAAGGGTTTAGGGCTTTAGGGTTAAGGGTTTAGGGCTTCAGGGATTAGGGTGTAAATACGGTTTCGAGAGCCTCTAGGGCTTCCGATCTGAACCCTCAACCCTAACCCTCAACCCTAATCCTAAACCCTCTATTCCTGACCCAACAGGGGTGTTAGAGTGTCCGGGTAGGGGTGGTGAACGTTTGGAGGGCATTAGTGCTGAGGCTCAGCCTAAGTTGGAACCTTAGCGTAGGGGCCTAAATAATTACCGATACTATTCTTGGGGTTCCTTGTTGTAACTATAGTGGAATGGGCCCCAAAAACCCTATTCTAATGACTAAGGCCCCTATATTATTAGATGCGTTTCGACACGGCTAAGAGGCGCTTTCTAGGGTTTGTGGAGACCGTTTTCACGGTTGATGGGTGTTTGATAAGGGTGCCTGTAGGGTTTTGTAGGATTTGTATAAAGGGGTGAGCAGGGGCGTGAGAGCCAAGCAGCTGATTGTGGAAGTCTTTACGGTGTGGGCTTCTAGGGTTTGTGGGTTTTTGAGATTTGGGGCTGCGCGCATTTGGGGTTTTCGGTGGATGTCAGGGCTCAGGGTTTTGGGTTTAGATAGAGCGTTTTGCTTTAGGGACCCTGCCCTAAATCACCAAAGCCGGAACTTTTGCCCACTATGTCACCGAAATATTGTTGCTGTCTCGAGGCTTTTCGTCATGGTATTCTTCAGCACATACCGCCGGATCAGGTTTCCTGTAAGTGTTCAGCTTTACAGGTACTATGTATGATCTAGGATTTGCTCCGGGGTTCCTATAAACCCTCATCAAGGCTTGCAAACCCTGTAAAGACCCTACATTGTACATTCTGTCCATGAAAGACTCTGTAAATCCAATACGGACCCTACACGACACCTAGTATCGGGACGTAAATAATCACCAATACGAGCTTGGGGTTCCGTTAGGCCCCTCTAGTACAACCCGTTTTGGTAACCCTTATGGAACCCCGAAAGGCACCCTGTCAAGGTGCTTCTATGATATTTACAGGGTTTAGGGTTTAGGGTTTAGTCCGCTGTCCAAGGGCACAATACTGGTATGTATTCGGGCTTCTATATTACCTTCGCTGTCCAAGGCTACTCGCACCTCATGATCAGCAACGGCGCGTACATGAAGGGGCATCTCCCTCTGAAGGGCCTCGGGTTTGGGAGTTCTAGGGTAGCGGCATTTCAAGGGCTCAGAGTCTAGGAGTCGTAGGGTTTCGGCTTCAGGCGTCTCTCGCTCCCGTGCTTTAGTGCTTGTTCTATAAGGGGCCCAAGCAGGGAAGCCGGAGGCCAAAAAACCAGACCCTCAACGCGAGTACAGGGGTGCCTTGTGTGCTCAAAAAAGAAAGCGCTCGGCTCACATGGCCAAGATGTGTCCCTCGGTATTCTGAACAGGGTGTAGGCTTCATCGGATTTGGGAAGCACTCTGCGCCCAACCCCCCGTATAGCCCATTGTTGTCACTGCTACTGTTCTTGCCTCTACTACTGCTTCTACTGCTACTACTGCGACGACGACGAGGAACACTAACACCGTCGTTCTGGCTGTTATCACTTGATCTGACCTGTGCCACTGCTGCCACTGCCGCTATTACTCTGTACTATCGTTCTTGTTATCCTCATAAGTGTTAGTATCTGTTAGTAGGCGCGCTTGAAGCCGCAACCTTAAGCGCCTGAGATTCTCGACACCCTTTGTAAACCCTTAGTCCCAGACCCCAAATCCTGAACCTCGAAACCCAACCTTGAACCCTAAGCCCCACGCCCTCGATCCGCGGATCCTCATGCCTACCAAGCTTAGTAGAGCATGTAACCTTTAACCTTGTCGGGGTACTGCTTCATCCCTCTATAACTGCAAGGGTTAAACTGCAGTCCCGCTAGGAAAGAGGACAAGTAAAGCATAAGACCAATGACGAACCTCGATGTCGACATCTTCGAGCCTAAAGCCCAGCAAATCCCTGTAAGTGCTACAAAACCCTGTAGGTCCCCCACAAGTTCTATAAACGCCCTGTTGCAATCAAGCCTTTGAAGCTTGCAAGATCTGAGACCGAGGCTTTGGACTGCAACGCTGCCATACCTGACCTACCGAGGTTCGGATGCGTTCGGATTTAGGGTTTAGGGTGGTCCTGAGCGTCGTAAGCCTCCCGAACTCCAGCACCCTGCACCAGGAGCCTTAAACCAATAACCCTGAAAACCCAGACCTTTCCCCTTCACCCCGAAACGCAAGCTCGAAGAGTTGCTTTTGGAGATGTTGGCTTTTTGATTTCAGATGTCGATCGGCGGGGTGATGCTTCTTTGCATGAGGGGTCCTGCTCTGGGTCCCTACGTGTACATGAAGGATCCTGGAATAATGTTCTTGAGGGTGTATGGTGTTAAGAGCCCAAAAAGCACATAAGCATAAGCACTTTATAGGGATATCCCTACCTTATTGGGATTCATTATAAGAAGGTTTATATGGGATATCCCTATCCTAATTTTTGCTTATGTGCTTTTTTGGGGCCCTATAGTGGGGTCCGCCGTTTCCTGAAAAGCACAATGCTCGCTGCAGGTATGATCAGGCTCGAGAGGCAGTAGACAGGGTTCCTTTGCTTGGCAGTGCCGCCCCTGTGGCCCTACTATAGGGGCCTAAATAGTTACCAATACTATTTCGGGTGTTTCCTTATTATAGCTATAGTACACTATAACATACAGTTATAGTACAATATAACATACCGCAAAACCATATTCTAATTATTGAGGCCCCTAGATGGCACCTGAAAGTTTCGGTAGGCGACCACAACTACCACAACCGCTATGGCGACAAACGCCGCGACAGTCGTAATGAATAGTCAAGGCACCACAAGATCTAGAAACTACGGATGCTGCGACTACTGCTACCACTACTACCACCGCTACTGCTACTGCTCCTGCTACTACTACTGCTCCTGCTCCTGCTGCTACTGCTACTGCTACTGCTACTGCTACTGCTGCTGCTACTCCGACTGCTACGACTGCGACGGCGACGACGAGTACGACTACGGCTACCACCACCACTAGCACG